GAAACCAGTAGTTTGAAAGCCTCTGTAGGACCCTGATATCACATCATGGAGCATATACCATGTAAGGCCAGACCTGCTCCAGTGTGACTGTCCATCTTAGACAGGAAGAAGAAACTCTGACACCCAAGTGAGGACAGCAAAGGCTCCAGCATAGTGGTTAGCAGCAGCCCACCGAGCACACACTTCCTATATGGCTTTGGGCTTGGAGCGCATATAAGGTAAGGTCACAATACTGGAAATACTTAATCAATAGCACTGCAGTTACATCATTTATATACACATCTGGATCATCCTAACACACCAAAACAGACACACACAGGGTGTCAAGCAATGACAGGGCCTTTTTAGAGAGATAGTGATTAAAAAATAAAGTGAATTCAGGAATAGCTTTCCCCAAAACTATTATCTAAGCAATCTGGTTATTTTGTCCCTAAATCTTGTATTTGTTTAAAAAAAATAACCCAAAAACCCAAAGTGAAGAAACCCTATTGTATGAAAGGTGCAGGTGACCAGCACTCTGCAGAGAATTCTCCCGTGGGTAACTCTTGATGGTCATGAAGGACTGGGCAGGTGATATTCATTTAACTGTATAGTTAACTCCTATTTTATAACATTACACATGCGTTTTGGCACTACTGACACCACCAACATTTAATGGAATCATTTGGATTTTTCTCCCAAAATCACAACATGGCTATTGCCAGGACAGGAGAATATACTGTAAGGATGCTTCCCAAGATCTGGCTGAGGACACACAGTGACAACTTTTGAAATAACAAAGTCCACTGTACATGGGTCACTCTGAAGGGTATGCACGTTTCTGATTCAGGCAAATTCAAGAGTTAGATTATTGAGGTCGGTGGAAATGCTGAGATTTCAGCATTTCTGTTGAAAGGAGAGATGCAGGACCACACCCACCAACCCACTTCCACAGTGGAAGGGTAGGATAAAGAGCACACAAGAGAAAGTATGGATTCTGAAGAACATTGGAACACCAAGTGCTCCTGAGGGCATCTACAGAATCTCACAGTTTTGGGTGGATTGAGTCTTGGTCCATGTGCATCTGTGATATATATAGGGCTTACTGCTGAATTCTTCCTCATGCATTTTACTGACTTGTTATTCTAGAATCAAGTAGTGTCTAGAACTTGACAATGGTCAGCTCCCCTTTCCTTTAACTTTGTTAAGCAGGCCATGAATGTCTTAGTTGGTCTCAATTCAAACATCCAGTCGAAGAAAAGTGATCAATTGGGGCCAAATAAAGGGTTTAGAAAAATGAAATTATCCAGCTGACAGCTTCTTGTGATGAGAGATTGGAACAAATGCTATACGCTGGGCTTGTGCATTTGGAAATTTCATTCCATGGTAAGAGAGGGAGGAAGAATCTGCCACCCTCCACAAAACCAACAGTCCAGTGAAGGAAATTCTCTGTGTCTGGTTTACCCAAGATCAGGTTACGAACACCTGACTTGAGGCAAATAGCACCCTCCTGATGGCAGTAGTGAGATGAAAGCAAAGATAAAGTCACCATCATCTCCATCCCTGATATTCTCACCCTCCGACCTCTAGAACTAACTTCAGCAACGTTTATAAGGGAATCAACTAGCCAACAAGTTTTGAGTGAAACTGATCTGGCAATCTTTTCTAGAAAAGTGTGTGAATATGAAAGATCCGTATCCAGCACCACCTCTTTGTGACCAGATACCATATGCTTCAAAACGCGGAGTTAGTGGACATTTTTCTGGGTGGGGTTTACAGTGTTGTTCTGTATGGGTGGGATGGGGGCCAGGGTCAGGGCCCAGAGATTAAGAAGAAAAGGGTCACTAAATATCAGAGATTCCTCAGCAAGGAGCTTCCGGAGAAGCAACACTGAGAAGGGGAAGTTTGTTTGACCTCAATTTTGGTTTAAGCCTTTTCAGGAACCTTTACTACCTTAGGTACTGACAGGGAAAATGTGGTGCTACCAGCTTGTACTCTATAGAGTGCTGGTTCCCTCTGGTCTACCTGGAAAGTGAGAGTCAGACCACAGTTTGCTTAGAGCCAAACTGAATCTGGCGAAGCCCAGGCCTAAGTGAATAAACATTTCTTAGCAGTAAGAAGAATGCTTTGGGAGAGGGGCAGGGCAAGGACACAACTTACTTTCCCCTGGCTTTTTCACCGTAGTGACTTGCGTTCACATTCACTTTCTCCAGACACCCTGAAGCAAATGCCATACAAAACAATTCCCCCAAGGGAAAAAGGAAAACCATAACAAAACACCTTTCCCCCCTCATTCCCATCCCCACCCCACTCCCTCCAGCCCAACACCCTGAATACTCACAAGAGAACACTTTATACAAAATTAATTAGAAAACAAAATATTTACATATGAAATAAACACCATCTTGATTTCGGTCTCCAGTGGAGACTGACAGAGCCCCCTGTGTTCTAGATTGCTGTTCGCTAGGTTAGTTGGTTTGGTTTTCTTTTTATTATTATTATTATTATTATTTTTAAGGGGTGAGGTAAGAGGAAGAGTGAGGGGATGAGCTCCTGACTCTTAGGCAGAGTCAGGGTGAAGCAATGTTTCTATGGCCCTTCTCCTTCTTCCTCTTGGAGACGCCCCACACCCTCTGTCCTCTCTCTCAAAGTCTTTCCTTGAATCTAAGGTAAAGTACTCTGTGCTCCTCTCTCCAAATCTGTGAGAGGTTCAGCCCCTTGCCCCCATGTTTGTTTTAGAAAGAAAGCAGAGCTTTACAAGGCCTTCTGTTGGCTTTAAAATGAAAGATACTGAGGTAAACTCAAGGAGGTGGGGAGGGGACGGCATTTGCGGGCAGGGAATGAGGAAGGGTCTCAAGGCAGGGTGGACAGGAAGGCAAAGAGCAGCCCTGGAGAGTGAATGTGAAGAGACATGGCGGCTTTCTTCCAGAGGAGGATGAGCACCTTTCTGGCCTATGTGTCCTGTGTACAATAGCGCGGTCCTGTGATCAAGCTTTCAGAGACACCTGGGGCTCTTTGCATGCCACCCTGAGTGAGGGGAGGATGGCAGGACAGTGGGACAGACCCATAGACCACCCCTACCCCAGGTTATAGGACCTGCAGTGACAAATATTCCTTTCCCTTCCCAATTTTCCAACTTGACGTAAAGGGGGCACATGTCTGCCAGTACCCTCATCCCTGGGCTTTTATGTGCACACACACATGTGCGTACACACATGTACATGAATATATTTTACTTATGAATGGTACAACATGAGAGGGAAGAGAGGTGTTGCAGGAGGGTAGAAGGGCGTCTACCAAGAGTGTTCACACTGGGCTCCAGTCGCACTCCCAGGGAGCCAGGCCCAGGGAGGTAGTGGGAAGATCTCTCCTGTTGGCCCTCTTCAACTTCTAAATCTCTTCCCTTCTCTCCAGGCTTCCTGAGCTTTGCTCACGAGGCTCATTTTTCTTACTGTCTGTTCCCCCTTATCTGTTGTCATCAATTCTGGGGGAACAGGCCTGCTCTTCTACCTCCAGGTTAAGTAAGAAGGGATCAAAGCATTGAAAACATCCCCCTCTCTCACTTATCCTACCACATAGGACTCGTCTCTTCAAAGTCTTACTGAGCTACTCCCCAAACCTTGGCCTGTCAAGGGTCTAAAAAGCTCAAAAGAACTTTATAGAATCTTTTGCTGTCAAGTGTGGGCAAAAGAATCATGGCTGCTTCTATTTTCCTATAGCCTTCCTGAAAAGTTCTTGGCACAAACTAGTTGAAACCATTGGCAATCACTGAAAACTAATTTTTATATCTTGCTTTTGTAGGATTGTCTCCATTCCTTTTTTTCTTGGTCTCTAGAACATAACCTTTCTCAAGAACTTCCACTCTTCTTATTCTGGAAGGTGAAGGGGAAAGACAGCCAACATTCAGGTAACATAAGACCATCTCTGTTTGTATATAAGCCAAAGCAAGCACATTGCACAAGGGTTGGGAGAGAAACAACACAAGGAGTCAAGGTTGCCTTCTCTGCATTTAGAGGCACCCACTGCAGGTATATGCAAGTGTACCTGGACATACATACCCACACGATCCCCCTGCCCTGGCTTCCAATGCACCATGGGACACCATCATAATGAACTTTCGAGTCTGCTCAGGAACCCACTCGTCCACCACTGACCTTTCACTCCAGTTCACCACTACTGAGTCTCATGGAGTTGAAGCAAACATTTTTTTTGGCTTATATATAAACATGCCTGGCCGCTCACCCCCTACTTGGTTCACAAACCCTAGGCAGATGTCATCCATGCAAAAGGAATTTCAGCAAAAAGTTCTTTTCATTCACAAGCTGAATGCTAACTGCTATCGCTTGGATACTTTTACTTCCCCATCTAAACAAAAAGATGTTTGGGGAAAGCTACTCCTGTGCTCATGCGGCCCCTTTTTGCTCCTCCTGGCCTCACTCGAAGTGCACGGCAAAGAGCTCTTCTGTGCTAGCAAGACACTCGCGTGGAGTGCTTCCTTTCTCCTCTCCACCCTCCTGTACGGAGAGGGCCTGCTTCATCCTCTCCTCTCGCAAGGGACCAGAAATGACAGACAGATGCGGGGAGGAAGGGAGGACTGCAAAAGGTTAGAGAGATGGTGCTGGTCACCAGGGTTGCCTTCAGTAGGAACCAGAACTCCAGGATCCCATAAATAAATTAAAAGAAGACGAAAGGAGCAAATGGGAACCAAGTTCATCCCCGACCCCCTCTGTGACATGACATGCGCACCACACGACCCACAGCCCTACCCCTCCCACACCCACCTTAACCTCTCTCTTCCCTCACTCAGACATCAGACTCAATACTAGAAAGTTTCTCATAAACATGCCCATTGCTGGAGCCATTGAAAGCCCTGGGGTTTTTGTTGTTAGGCACACAGGGGTTGGACTGGTTCCCTATACAGATGTCTTTCTGGAAACGGCCTGGCACAGCCCCGTGCAGGGCCGAGACCACTGGCTTGTTGCTGACAAGGGCCCGGAAGTCCGGCCTGGCTTTCGACGCACCTGCCACCGTGGGCTGCCTGAAGAAGTAGGATTTGCTGCCGTGGAGCAAGCACTGGTCGTCCCCAAAAGTGGGGATGAAAGGGTTTTGCGTGACCCGGTCAGGGTAGAGCGACTTGCTGAGCATGTAGCTGCCGCCGGGGTTGTTGTGGTGGTGGTGTCCGGCAGTGGGCACTGAGGACTTGTTGTTGGCAAAGGTGCTCTCACCAGCTGGCATCTCAAACATGTGGGCGTAGGGGCTCCCATCCATGAAACGGCCCTTGTCTTTCAGGCTCACGCTGCGCGGGGCCAAGGCGGCTTCTTCCTTCTGCAGGTCCACGAAGGTGTCATAGGAGTGCTGCCGGCGCAGTTTGTTGCGGTTCTTCTTCTGGGCCTTGGAATTAGTTGGGCTCTGTGGGTACTTGGTGGTGGAAGCATTCGACGGCACCGCCACAGGGGCCGCCGGCTGGTCCAACTCCTGCAGGGAGTTGTCCTCGCTGATGTCGTACAGGTTGCCTGCCTTCTTGCAGGCCTCGCACCGGATGCAAGCCTGCCGGCCCGAGTTCTGTCCGGTCACCGTGGTGGAGTAGTTGTGCAGTTTGGAGGGGCAGCTGCGGCAGAAGTTGCCCCCGGACCGGTCCTCCCAATCCACGTTGGTCAGGTTCTTCTCCCAGGGGGCTGGCACCCCACTGACCACACCGTGTTTGTCGCCTGTCCCATGTTTGAGGTGAGACCTGTTGGTACAGGGCCCTCCTCCGCTGATAGAGTCGCGCTTAAAGTCATCGTTCCGCTCCTTGTAGATGTCGGTCAGATCCACGTGTTCCCAGTGAGGTGAGTTCTCCTTGGTTCGAAACTGGTCCAAGTAGAAGTCCCGTAGCCCTTCCTTGTCCCTGAAGTAGCGCTTGTGGTCAGGGGAGCGGGGCGGTCGGCGGCGGTAGGCAAGCTCAATCTCATCGAACTCCCGCCTGGACTTGGCTGAGGCTGGCCGCTTCTTCAGGCTATCCTTGTACTGCTGCTTCCGTCGCTTGGCCGCATTGCCCTCGATGTTGCCGTAGGTAACTGTATGCGTGGAGATGTCTGAGACATCCGAGCGGATCAAGTCATCGTGGCCACTGTAGCGGTCACTCTTGAAGGAGAACTTGCCATACAGGTCACTCAGCTGGCTGTGTTTGGAAGAGGGCAGGCCGATATCCAGGGGCTTCTTGCTGATGGACCTTGGCTGGGTGGTGAAGGGCGGGTTGTCACAGTCGTAGAGCCCATCAATGGAGCTGGTGCTGCCGATGCTGTGAGGCCGGTGGTGATGGTGATAGTGGTCTTGGTATACGTTGCTGTCCTTCAGCTGCAGGTTGCCGAATGTTCTCTCCACCTCACTGATGTAGTCGCTGAAGAGGTTTTCCTCGCAGGGCGGGTTGTTGTAGGACTTGCAGTCTGAATGCGTAAAGCTGCGGCGGTGCTCAGAAATGTCATAGACAGATGACTCCCTGCGGATGAAGTCCAGGGCGCTCTGTGGGGAGCCATTGACGCCAGACAGGTTGGCCATGTTCTTGGCTGTGCGGAGCAGGCGCAGGATGTTGGAGTGTGTATTGTTCATCGTCGCAGTGGGGGAATTCATCACGGATTGGCGCTCCTCGATAGCCACTCCATGGATGCAGCTGTAGATACCCTGAAGTGACGTAGAACAGGACAGATCAGGGACAAGACAGTGACACTAAAGATGACCATAATCAGTGTACTCCCACGACTAATTGCCTAACTGGGTAAGACAAGGCCAGGGAAAGTAGGAAGGTTAATACACTTATATAAGATGTGGCTAGAAGCCCATCTGATTTATCTCCCTGAATTCAGCAAGTTTCCTCTCGTGAGCTAGGTTAATGATGTGCCTGTCAGGGAGAGGGCATGACGGTACCAAGTGACCTTAGCAAATAGGCTGGAATCACAAAACATGATGTTTTTGCCTCAACTCCACCCTGGACTTACCTTGAATTTTTAAAAATCTATGCCCAGATTTTTGCATTTTAAAAATGAGGCCATGGTATGAACCCACAGCAAAAAGCAGTGCCAGTCACCTGGGGTAAATGGAAAGCTCTACAGATACTGAGGTTGTTTTGCCCTGGCCACCACTTCTGGCTTGCAGTGAGCGCAGTGGTGCTCAGTAGCTCACAACTGCCTCTCTTTTCTGGGACTGACAAGTTTTGAGCAGCTTTTAGAATTTTGGTCACTAAATAACAGCTGAACAATTCTGTTCTGCAGCCAAGCATGAACCACATTCACACAGAGAATTAAGGAGCGCTGGGGTCAAAGAAGGATTTTTCTCCTGCTGTGCTCTGCACTGTGGGAGGGAAGAATTGGGACAAATATCAAGCACTAACTATGAATAAATAATTCCCTTGTTGAATAATCTCCTTTATTCTCTTAGTTCCTGATTTCCTTCTTATACTTTCTCACACAATAGTATCATAAATAATTAAAGTTTTATCAAATTAGGATTGATGGAAACTCTCTTCTTGTATGGGGCATGAAAGAAGAGTGTCCCTGAGAAGGAAAGGGCTTCATTCCTGGAAGGCTCCCTGTGTCCACTTCTGACATGAAGCCAACCTACTGCTCACCTTTTGCTCCCTCCTTGAAAGGTAGACTTTTCTCTCTGGGAGGGGAAGGTATCCCAAGGGTTCTGAATTATATCTTTACAATAAAGGAGGTTAATTTGGAAAAGGATATGGTCTCAATGGAGGGGGTGAGAGCAGAGGATGGCAGTTGGGTGAGAAAGAAGAAACGTGCCTTCTGTCTCAGAGGGCATCACAAGACATAAGATCTTTAAGGTGCAGTTCCTCTATCTTCTTTCCTGTTCCTCATTTCTAGTCCTTCTTGGTGATGACCAGGAGAAAATGGTAAGCATTTTTGCTCTGTAAAGGGGCTGATTATGTCAAAGGGCTATGAATGGAATTCCTATCAAGGTCACTGCTACATCTTCTGTCCTCCCTCTGTCTGGAATCTAGGATGGGCCACACACTGGAATACCATGACTGAGGGACTGAAGCCGCCACAAGTTCTGTGCTCCTGTTCTGACATTACTGAGTGACCTGTTAACTCCCAACCAGAGAGAAAATGAAGAAATCTGTGCCTTATCAGTAAAATACTATCAGAAAATGACCAAAGGATGAAGCAATTTAATGAGATATCTATTTTCTTTCATAACTCCATTTGAGTCAAAGTAGGTCAGATCTGGAATGTTGAACTCAATCCTAAAAAACTCATTTGAGTTCACTCTTCATGAATTCACAAACCTTATTAACAATCAAAAGAAGCCCACTCTTTTCAAAAACATCTCCCTGTGACCTGTTGTTCATATGCAAAACTGTCTTCCTAATGTTCACTTTGGACTAGAAATAAAGAACCCCCCACCCCCCCAAAAAAAAGACCTAAGAGCTATACTCTTGCTCAAATGAAGTCTCTGGGATATAAATTTCTTGAGTTAGGAGTTATTTCTGAAGATCTCGTTAAGCTCTTTAACTTCCTGTAACCCACACATGGTTAAAACATGGGATGAATAAAACTACCAATAACATATCCTTGTATGTTCAAATAAGAAGGATATGTTACATCACACTATTTCGATAGAAATGTGATTTTTTAAAAGAATTAAGTGATTAATAAGGTCTATACATAATCAACTAATGGTGATGAAGGGTGTTTGGAAAGAAAGCCATTTTGATAGATCTGCCAGTTCTCATTGAAAACCAAATGCCCAAACCTCACATAGAAAGCTATTTCTTACAGGAAGTATAATTTTGCCCACATTTTGAGACACTTGCAATTACATCACACAAATCCCTGAGGAAAAGCCCATGATGTAGTTTCCTGCTTTAGCAACATAAGGCCAGACATAGTACCCTCTTGGGTCTCTCCATGTAGTCTCTGTGTTTTGTAAGCCAGCTTCACAAGCTCTAGGCATAGAAATCAAAGCACTTACTCTGCTGATGGAGAAGACCATGCCAGGCTTGCCAGAGCAGACCCCCATAAAGCAATGCCGGAACTGCCAATAGAAAAGGTGTTCACAGATGAAGGTGATAAGGCTGAGAGCCATGGCTGCCCCCAACATGTAGAAGACGCCCGCCATGTTGTCAATGTCCAGTTGGCTACTCATGACCTCATTCTTCTCATTGTGGCAAATGCCAGTGAGCCAGAGAGCTTCCAGTTCTTCCATCTCCCCTAGAGACAGGGCAGAGAAGAAAAACAGATAAAGGGGGAAGAGAGGAGAGGAGTAGAAAAAGGAGAAGAGGAATATTGAGGAAGAGAGAAAAAAACATAAGGAAGAGACAGGGAGACACAAAGAAAATGAATAGAGAAAGTTAACAGTAATTACACTAATAATATCACAGTATATATTAATTCACCAATGTATACAATCAATATTCAATGAAAACTTAATGAGGGCACTGTGCATGATATGAAGACATTGCCACTGCTCTCCTTTACCCAGAATACATTGGTATAGGGTGAGTTATATGTGATATGGGTAATTGTTCAAATTGGCAACACTCATTGTCATCAGTGGGCTTTCACAGGGGGACTTGGAAATGGACACTGAAGATGAGTAATTATTTTATATATAAAAAGTTATTCCAGGCAGCTAGAATAGTACGATCTATGGAGGGGGCTTTGGAAATTCAAGGTTCATTTAGGGAAAAGCATGAAGAGCTGAATAGTAGTTGGCAGAAAAAGCAGAATAAAAGACTTATGGGAAAACTCTGAAGACTTCTTTACCAGCCTAAGCATTTTGCACTTTGTAGACAGAGTGGGGAATAATATAATCACGTGACTCAGAAACTTCCTCTTAAAATTGTGCCAAGCAGATTGGGAAGGGGAAGGAGACAGAGAGATGAGCAGAGAGACTGATTTATTCCCTAGAGTCCCTCAGATTTACAGACCTCATATTGTAGAGGGAAATATAAAAAGCAAAAGAGGAGTAAACTTGAATAAAACAAAACCACCAAAATTAGACCTGCTTCCTCTACTTCATTGCATACTAGAAATCAGAAAGGTAGAAATCCTGAACAAAAGGAAAACAGAAGAAATCACATGCCCAAGAACACTTCTCATCCCAGGCAAGCAAGCAAAATTCTAAAAATCTCATGAAGAAAACTGTCTGCTCCAGTTGTTCAGTTTTGTTTTGTTTTGTTATCTAAAAAAAGAACTTTGCATTTTCGGATTAAAGCTTTGACAACTTTTGCAAATCCTTTCTACTGTTTCACAGGCTCCACTTTTTCCTATAAGTGACAACAACTACAAAATTGTAGAAGCTCTTCTATCAAAATTGCTTATTTACACTCCAGTTGCAACTGCCTATTAACTAGTGGAACAATCAACTTCACCAAAAGTCTGGAAATCTACCTCTGGTCTTTGGTTTCTGATCTCATCCCTAACAGTCAAAATTCTGCAGACCCAATTTAGAAAGCCCCTTGGCTGATGGTCTTTGGAGCTGTGCAGAGTGATTTTGCTTATCTGTAACTGGATTAGTTTCTAGGAGGATGACAAGAAGAGTAGGTACTTTGGACAATATAGTGATGGAAATACAGGAAACCAGGGTATAATGAAGTTGAAGAGATTTTTCTCGATGCAAATTGGCTTTTCAGCCTGCTGACAGAATAGCACAGGACAGTGCCTTATGGTATCTGCCTCTGTGGACCCTGCCATGTCCACAAGAGCAGGGTGAGGGAAAGGGAAGAATGGGCAAATGACCCCACCTTCGCTTTTTTGCCCTTTCTCCGAGCACATAAACATCCTACAGTTCCATCTACTGTTGGGCTACTTGCAAGGTGGCTGGCTGGAATATTTACTATCAGCCTTATATACTTCATTCCTGAAGGTTTGTTTATACTCCACAATCTTGAAATGTACCTTCCTGACCAATGACTTTAATTTCCTCCATCACCTTTCACTTAGTATAGGTTGAATTATGTCCTTCTCCCATAATTCACATTATGAAGTCTTAATCCCCAGTACCCTATGGCATGACTTTATTTGGAAATATGGTCACTACAGATGTAATCAGTTAGGATGAAGTCATACTGGAGTTCAGTGGGCACCTAACACAGTGTAACTTATTGAAAAGGTAAATTCAGACACATAGATGTACAGAGAGAAAACATGCACAGGTAGAATGTCATGTGAATCAGGAGAAGGCAAAAGTCAGCTGATGCTTCTGCATACCAAGGGACACCAAATATTACCAGAAAAATGTCAGAAGCTAGGTAGAAGTATAAAGCAGATTCTCTCTCACAGCCCCAAGAGAAACTGATCTCGCTGACACCATGATTTCCAAACTTCTAACCTCCAGAACTCGGAGACAAGACATTTCTGTTGTTTAAATCACTGTTTGTGGCACCTTGTTACACCAGCCCCAGGAATCGAATATATACCCTCAAATCTCATTACAAATTGTGAAATAGTCTTTAGAATTGCACAGCTTGTAAGAACAGAGGAGCAAAGGAGACTTATACTGTGGCCTGACCACTGGTAAGGAACTTCCCTTTCCGTAACTCACCATCTCCAAACAGCTGCAGGATAGCAAGGTCCACCTGGCGCTTCCACCCGGAGTCCTTTTGGATGGCAATGCCATAACCAGTGGAAGCAAAGACCTTGCCACTGCCAATGGTCACCAGCTTGCAGCCTTCATCTCTGCCTGCCATGTAGTTCAGCACTGCCGCATCGTAGATGAAGGCATCGAGTTTCCTGCACAAGAAAGCAAATAAACAAAATCCAAAGGAGGAACTGTAGAACAAAACTACCTATGGGAACATTAATATGAAGCAGTAGGGTTCCAGAATGCCATGGAGAGAACTGGTTCAAAGTAAGGCTGAAGTTGGACCACGGCCAGAATCTAACGCCTGAATCCCAGGCTGTTCTTTATGTAATTTCAGGTTGGAAGGAGGAGTTCTTTGCCTCCCACTGGGAATAATAAGAATGTAAGTTGGGCCTGAAGCCAACTCATAAGCTGTGTCTGAAAAGCAGAAGGAGTAAAAAGGAATCAATAAAAATAATAACAGAAATAATGAAAAGTGAGCACTACAATGATAACAAATAGCATGGGTAAGATTTATATAACATTTTCATTTCTCAGTTCATTACAGTCCAGAGTGGGGATAAGTGTAGGGCGGTGTGTGTGTGTGTACGTGTGTGTGTGTGTGTGTGTGTGTTTTGATAGATGGGCAGTGCTATTTTTGTGGCCAGAAAGGTCCCAATATTTCGCTGTACAGAAGTGAGGGGTGGGATGGTGGCAGCACAGGAGGTGTGCGAGTGAATGTGAGACACTGGAAAATCAGACAACATATAGAAGAGCTCAGACCTCTCAAATTCCTAAACATATAAAATCTTCATTTTATGTATTGTGCTTGGTAAGACTAGGGGTGAGGGTAGGAAGCATAAATCAATGTTTAAAACCAATGTTTTATACACAGCAAACCTAGAGGAAGAAATTCAGATAAAGCCACACAGTTAATAGGTCTGAAAAGAATACCATGCCTCCTCCCTGCACTTCTACAGGGCAAGTAGCTTTCTCCCTCCTTTAGAAAAAACCAAGCTGTTCCTGACATGATATGACACAGGACATTTTATAAAAGCTGCCTTTCAGAAAAGTAGCACAACAAAAAACTCAGAGTTCCAATACGTCTGAGAATTCTGGGTGTACCAGGGTTCAGACTACCCAAAGCCATCTTATACTGTCCTCTGAAATCTGTTGTGATTTTATTTCTGTTTAATAAGAATGCTGTAGTATTTTCTGCAACCATTTGTCTAAGTGGTTGTTTCAGATCTGGAGTTGCAGGGATATTGAGAGAAGGTCCCCGTGCTGCTAGTCATTACACAATAGGAAAATAGTGACAAAGTCCCTTGGCCCCCAAATACCAACCGCTAAACTGTTGCAGTGGCTATCACTCCCCACAGCTCTGGCTTCTGGGACCCAAACAGAAAAAGGGCTAAGTGTGCACGGCGCAAGGCATCGCAGCACATTGTTGCTCCAAACAGGAGCTTTTTACTGAATGCATCCTTGAATCCAAAGCTGGCTCACAAAGAAAGCCAACAAAAGTTGAACAGGAGAACAGGCAGCACATTCCTACTTTTTGTTATCTAAAATCTTTTACATTTTTCTCTCTCACTTCTCCACTGTCCATAAGACACCAGAACTATCATTTTCACCTCTTAGAGACTATAGTTCTTTTTCTCATGTATAATATATGAGATTTGTCTTTGACTCTTCCGCTCTACTTTTTGTATCTATGTAATCTCTGCTTCATGATTACATCAATGCAATCATTAGAAAATAATTTGCGAAAAAATACACAGAAGTAAGTAATAGAATACAAATCTTTGTATATTGGCCTGAATTATAATGTCAAACATAACTAGGAAATCTGTAGCCAGAAAATAGTCTTTTTTGATTCAACATTTTATAGCACAAAGCGTGATTTATTAGTACATCTGATTCAAGATAGGTGTGATTAACAAAAGAAACACATCACTCTGTGTGTGGAAGTAGTTCTTACCCTGTTTTCAGGGAGAGCAATGCATCATCTACGCCCCTCTGGTTGAACTTTCCCATGTAGGCGTGCATTTCTGCGTAGTTATTGCGAATATTCCTCTCTGTGCTACCATTGGGCACAGTCCCAAAGCGAAAAGGCGGGGAGAAGTCATTAGGTCTCTGGAACTAGAGAGAGAAAGAGAAGGAGGAGGGTGGATGAAATACTTTAGAAACCAGGAAGAGACATTATGTTAGCATTAGCAGGTTTTTAACAGAAGGGACCCAACTATAAGTCACCAAACACTTCCGCCCTTGCTCCGGAGTGGCAATTGCTACCTAGAAGTGGACTTCAGTTCATTCAATAATATTAGTGACAGATTTCTACTTGCCCAGTCCCACTTTTATCCATAACCTCCTGTGATCCTTTTATGCACACTGCACAATATCAGTGGTGGTGACCCAGGAAGAGATATGCTGGGAGCTTAATAGTGGCGGATGGTTACATACATTCATTTATTTTTGGTACTGGGAATTGAACTCAGGACCTAGTGCTTGACAGGCAGGCGCTGTGCCACTGAGCTACATCCACGGCCCAGTTACCTTTCTTTTAAAAGTGGTATAAAATCTGTATCCAGTTCTCTTAATTTAGGAGCCTACATACACTGTCATTGCACCACAGGGCCTTCGTGAGGTAGGTGAGCTACACTGTATTCCTGAAGGTAATGTGTTGAGTGTCAAATACATTTTGCTAAGAAATTCTCTCTTGACTTTCAAAGCTTTCAAAGATCACATTTATCCTATATGAGGTGTTGGATAAATTGCAAGATCAAATGCCATATTAATTATGTCCTTGCCTTAGCTACATACTGAGAGTGGATCTCTAATATCTGCCTCATTAAAGTGAAACTTTTTGGATTTTCACTTCTATGACATCAATGTTCTTTCTGGCTATTATCCTGCAATGAGTAAGTCTTCATGGTGCTTTCTGAATGCATAATTTATTCACTTGTAGGCTGAGTAAAGTGCAGCTCCTTAACAGAAACTCATCATATTCTCTAGGCCAATGCATGTCCTTCATTTCAAAAGCTAACTCAAAGCAATTTCTTCAGGAAGCCTTCTGTGAATTCTTCCTTCTATCAAGTTTACCCAAAGTGATCTATTAGTAGTTGTTACTCTGGTTGAGATCGCTGTAATTCATACTAAAAATTTAATTACTTCTAAATGTACTAGCTAAGTAATGAAAGCCAGTCTCTAATGAAGTCATTAAGAGTTTAGGCTAGAGACTGCACAGATACGGATTGAAGACGAGCCGTGCCACTTGGGTACTCTGTAACTTTGGGTAAACCACATGAACTCTTTGTTTATAATTTTTCATCTGTTAGAGCTGATAATGCTTAGTTTTCAAGATTGTTGTGAGAATCGAACTATATAACATACACGAAGTGCTCCAGCACCCAGCACTCAATAAGTGCTCAATAAAAGTTCTTGTACTACTTGTAACTCATGTCTTTATTCTGCATTTTCTAGTAAACTTTAGGTCCACCAAGCATCTCATTCTATAATAGCAGTTATAAGATATGACTAGGGTCTCTTGCTGTGCCTTTGGATATGAAAGAAAATGGAGACATTTAAAGTCTTCATGTTTTCATTACTATATCAGTTACTCTGGAGATGCAGTTGAAAATCTAAACTCTACGTTTTAAAAAATATCTAACCTGCTAACTCTGGAAAACTCTGAACCTTCAGAATTGCCTGGTTTAGAAGCCATTCTTTTCTTTCTCAGAGTTTGAGGGTTTCATGGGGCACAAAATGTCACAGCACCAGGAATCATAAGTGCCCTCTTAACTGCTCAGCACCGACCATAATCAAAGGAGACTCATGCCATGGTGTTAGTCTGAGATGCTTCAAAAGATCACTACTTCCTGACTGAAAAAGCTGTCCCTTTGACTCATCACAGTGCTTCTAATTTTAAAAATTTTAGTTTATTTTTAAAGGACCTGTAATTTTTAAACGAATAAAGACAAATTCACGAGTTTCAGGGCTGAATAGATCTCTCAAGGTTAGCTGGATTAAACCTTTTATGTGACAAATGATAAAACTGAGGCCCAGACCAGGCAAGTGAGTGGCTCAACTTCACACAGTAGCAGTGATGGCTAACATTATCAGAACTCAACTGGCCTGATTAATAGTCAGCTCACTGTCCCCAGCAGATACCAAGTTGAAAGTCAATAGGGACTTGCTTTAGTGGAGACAGACACCAGAATGTTTTCCAGATAACTTTCTAATAGAACACTTCAGATATTTGAATCAAGGTATTCCCCAAATAAAAAACAGAGTACATAATATGGTAGGCAGCAATGTAACCAAATAAAATCCATTTAATCAATAAATTCCCATTTTGCTAGGGCAATGACAACTGATGCTCATAATGACTATGACACTCCAGGGCTTAACATGTTTTGTGATACATCAATAAAAGTGGTAATCATGTCCAGTATAGTCTGGTATAAATTACTACACTATAACTTGTTTGGAAAATTGGTGATCCACGCAAATCCTTGCAATAATTTTTGATTAACTAAGTGGAATCCTATGCTCAGCATACCTCACTTTCCAATGAGGGTTCATGCTAAGAGCATGGAAATCTTTCAAAAACTAAAAGAAATCAAATAATAGCAAATACTGGCAAGGATCCAGGGAAAAAGAACCCTTCTACATTTTTGGTGGGAATGTAAACTAGTTCACCCACTATGGAAATCAGCAAGGAGATTCCTTAAAAAACCCAAACTAGAAATTCCATTTGACCCACCTATTCCCTTTCTAAGTATCTTCCCCAAAGAATTAAAAACATCATAGTACAGTAATACCTATATATTCATGTTTATAATAGCACAATTCATAACAGCTGAATCTTTGAAGTAGCCTATTCAATAGAAGAATGGAGAAAGAAATTGTGGTATTTACATACAATGGAGTACTATTCTGCCATAAAGAAGGATAAACTTGAGTCATCTGTAGGAAAATGGGTATGCTTGAAGATCATAATGTTAAAGGAAATAAATCAGACACACAAGTTTAAATCGTTTAAAGGTTGCATGGTTTCTTTTGTATGAAAAACTCACAATATAAATAAAGAGCAAAAGAAAAGAATAGAAACAGTAAGATGGATTTTTGCAAAAGGAAGGGAACTAAGGGTTGGAGGAAATAGAGGGGAGAAGGGAAAGGGATGGAAAAAATTAGATGTGTTATGTATATGTACCAACTGCCCACTAAGAATGTATGTCATTATGTTCTGACAAAGAATGAAATTAAAAAAAAAACAACTTCCATACTTCTTTCTAGTCACTTTTAATTTTAGGTCATTTTTCTATTTCTAGATGTTATTTTATAACTGTATCTTTGAGTAAATAAAAACTCAAGAAATGATTAAAAGAAACCTAGAAGAGAAAGAAAAAATGGAAAAAGAAGAACAAAATTGAAAGATTTATATTACACAGTTCAAAATGCGTTGTAAAGCTATAGGAATCATGACAGCCCTGGAACAGAGATAAGATGAAAAGATCACTGTAACAGAATAGTGTGTTCCCTAACAGACCCGCACAGATACGGCAAAAAGGCATTTCAGTGGTGAAGGTCTCATTTTCAACAAATGCTGTAGAGATATTTAGATATTTGTATGCAAAAAAGAACCTCACAAAAAGTACAGAAAGTAACTCAAAGTAGATAATATAGCTAAAATGTCAATCCTAAAATTATAAAAGCTCTAGGAGAAAGTATTCATAACCTTGAGTTAGACAAAAATTTCTCAGACACAACATCAAAATGTACAATCTATGCCCCCCAATTAGACTTCATGAAAACTGTGAACTTCTCTTGAAAAGATGCAGTTAAAATCATGAAAACATAAGCCACCAACTGGGAGAAAATATCTGAAAATAAAGCTATTAAAGAATAAATTAGATAATAACATGGCAAACTTATATAGTTGAAGCATCTTCCGTATAAAAATAGTCAGAGAAACCAACCAGTCAGGAATGGGGAGAATGAGAAGGTGTAGTCCTGTAAAAAAAATTTTTTTAGGGAGAAGACAATTTGGATTTGAATTCCAGCACCATCTCGTGCCAGCTTCAAGGAACATGATCAAGTTACTTAAATTAGTGAGGCCTCATTTTTCTGGAAGTACCATTTTATGTATGCAGGTATGTATGTATGTATTTTAAAGAGAATAAAAAAACAATAAAAATGACACAGAATTTCAAACAAGGTGATAGGAAATTAACAATGGTTATTATATTGCATATTGTTATCTTCAAAGTATTTGCTCAAATTAGCAGATATAGGCATGCAAAATTGATCAAACAATATAAGTACTCTTTTAATGGCTAAAATGGTACATAGAAAAGCTCTTAACTCCGTATCTAGCACATGGTGAATTTTCAAAATTGCTAGCTTCTGAAGCAATGAAGTTCTAATATCTAAAATTGTCCTGTGTAAGGCAATGTTCTCTCAGATTGAAAACTCTTGTTCTCTAATTTTTTCCTTAAACTAGGCCAGTCTGGGGTCCAGCAGGGAGAGTACACTGCCCCAGAATCAGCCAAATCTGAAGGAAGAGAGCACTTGCTTTTCCTTTTGAAAATTCTTGTCCTAGCTTGATAAGATCTGTGAGGTTTAAATATGACACAAATTTTCAAAAACTGTCATCAGAACTTGAACTTTACTAAAATTTGCATTCATAGAGAATTACATGTTAAAGAAGGCCCATGGGGAAGAATGTAAAAAAAAAATAACCTTCCAATCTGCTGATGTTTCCAATAAATGCCTTCATAATAAAACTAACCCCAAGCTATAAGGCACTATTGTTTAACCTGAGTGGCAATCAATGTTCTCTGGGGTTTTTTACAGAAGTAAAGTTTAGTTCCATTAGGAAACAGAAAATGTCTTAAAATATAATAGAGAGGACCTTAAAAAACAATTAAAAAAATTTAAAACCCAGTATAATATGGAAGCCCAGTAATTAAATTAAAACAATCTGACTTTGGAGTAAGAAATTTTTTATAGTACTTCTTATAAATAAACTTTGATCAACATAGGGCTTCCACAAACTTGAAATTTTTTCCAGGAGCCACCTAGGTTGGAATTACCAAATCAGGGGTTCAGATAAGGAAATAAAAACACAGAAATGATGG